GTGGGTAAATTAATAACAAAGGGAAATATAATGTTAAAGAGAAATTAAATATGATGGAGGCAATGAGTCGGTAGATGAGGGGTGACTGCTTATCAAAACAGGAATGCTTTCTGTGTTTGGACATCATCAATTATGCCCCGTTTTAGTGACGGAGCAACTCACAATTCTCTGTAGCAAGTAATTTTAAAATATCCCAAATACTCACACCACAGAGCAATAAGAAAGTAACAGAGGATATATTTCTACTTCTACTGAGCTTACCTTAAGAGTGCTGAAAAAGTGGGCTGCCTTGGTTTTCAGAGGCCCAAGATACCAATACCTGAGAAAGACCAAGATAAAAATCTGATTCGAATATTAAAAGAACCATGGGTGCGTCAGCTCCCATTCCCAACAGACCATTACACTGGTGTTATGCCTCTACCATGAGTGGCTGCTCCAGAGGCTTAGGGATCGCGGCTGTGCATAAGAGTATTACGGTGATTTTTAATCTGCATTTCAATGCCACGTCAAATGGCACATAACTAGTTATACAGAAAAAGATTCTTGCAATTTAAAAGAGCTATTTCACCAGAGTCTCCTTGTATCTGTACATTCACAAGTTTCCCTATAACATCTGCTTTCAACCACTGACTGCAGTTGAGCACACAATCAAAAGAGCGGTGAGGAGAGGATGGAAAAGTCACAATGAGATGAGATGCTGTGTGATCTGATGTGTTACTCGCAAGTGTCATGAACGGATTCCTCAACCCATATCCTCACAAACAAAAATGCACTCCATGCACATGTGCGTGCATACATGCACACGATTAAAATTTAAAAACCAGTATAATTTCGAATTACTCATGTTATATAGCTTTAAGGTGGCAAAGGTTGAATCTGGGAATGAAAGAGGATCTATTTCATATCGCTAAATCACAAGATACTGAAGAGAGGAAGATGTGTCGTTGGGATTGGAAAGTGACATGGAATCCTCTCTTAACTCACCTGTTGCCAATTGCTCCCTATTAAGTTTGATTGAATGCATTTAGTTAGCATCTACAATGTATATGCCAGAAACAGGACCAATACAGAGTATGAAACTGCTGCCTCTGGGAGCTTAAGATTTGGGAAAATACGGAAAACCTCCCAAAGTAATAGAAAACAATACATGACTCCATATGGCATAGTATAAACTGATGGCAATTTATTGCTAAGGAGAGGCAAGAAGGGACAAAAATCACTAAGGGCCTAAAATCACTGGAGTAGCCATGCTTATGAAACAAATGCCACGAGAATAAAGTAACAGTATGGAACTCAGAAAGATGGGTCAGATTTAAATACATAAGAGAGGGAAGGAAACCATTCTAGGCAAGAGAAGAGCAGAAGTATGGGAATCAGCAAGTGCAAGAGCCAAAGAAAGAAGGGAAAGCTCAAAAGTAAAGATGCATAATTACAGGATTAGGGGATGATGGCAGAGGGAACTGGGTCTAGGGGACTGGGCATAAGGCAGTGGGCAATGTAAGGCTCTCCTAAGTCATTTCTCAGGTTAATACGATGCTCCTAACAAAGGCCTCAGTCGTCAACCTTCCTGTGTTGTATTCATAAAGCTCATTTTATAGTTACTGCTTATTTTAGTTGGCCAAATAGAATAACATCCTGACCCAGGCAGTTTATTCCAAAATTGTTGGCAATTCCTTCGTCTCCACCAATAGTGAATGCCAGCACCTTACTGGTGGCCTTCCTATGGCCAGGTAGGAAGTTTCTCCTAACCCTGCTGCTTCTTCCTTAACACAAAGAGCAATTCAGTAAGAAGACAATCCTAGGTAAGGGATTATACAGCAACAATCAGAATTTTAAAATTCTTTGTTCAGACACCAATCAAAACATGGGCAAGTATGTAAGATATTCCTAAAAGGGCTGACCTGTGCTTGTGCTTAAGTGGTAATTAACAAACATTTTAGGAAGCAATGTATTTATTCTCACCAGACTTTTTCAGGAGTAGCACAGCAATTCCACTTGCTGAGCTGCTGGAATTTGAGATTACGGATCAAACATAAACTGTGGACCAAAATAACCATGGCATACTTTCAAATAAAAAGATGTGAAGTATTTAAGGATGCACTGTGTGACACAATATGGCAATATCTCTCTTGACATTGCACTGTTGGGAATTTTTTTGCAGGAATCAAAAGGTGAAACTGTGAGAGAAATGGAGGTAAATAAATGGTGGCAGGCTTGCCTAAGAAGTGAAAGAGGAGTTTCTCAAGGAAAGCTATGTGTGAGACCAATCACAATCCACTTAAACTATTTGCAAATGAGAGTCCTTGGCTTCAAGTAAAGGTGAAGAAAATCCACCTACCAGGTGTGAGGTGAACTGCACTCAGTATCCACAGCTCTCCCTCAGGAAGTCCCTGCCTAGCCGGAATATAACACACTCTTCTCAAGCCAAGAGTTTCCGTTTCACACACTGGATTCTCCAAAGTTAAGTCCTTTCCCATGCAAAACCAGTGCAGGCCCTCCAGTCAGCTCCTCATCCACCCGTTTCTTCCATCTCACGCTCAGGCCAGAACTCCACCTTTCTTCCTCCTCTAAGAGCCTATGACCTCACGATCTCCTACGGCTTCCAAAAACACCAGGAAAAGTCTTCCCACCACTACTGTTACACAAGCTCCAGAAGGTGACCCAGACAGTGCCTTCTGCCTGGAACCCTGCTACACGTAGCAGGATGACAGAAATCCAGTCTGCCCTTCTAATGGAGCATAGCCCATGCCCAAATTTATGTCTAAAAACAGACATACCCACCTTCTCTTCCGCTACCGCCTGCCTAGTGCCAAAGAATCTGGAACTTTCTCCAACCTCTGAATATAAGATTTAAGCCTCTATCTGATCACTCCTACCTCCATTACACATGCATAATTCAACCTCCAGGCCCACCAGAATTATCCCCAAAAGATCATTGTATATTAAAACCTCAAAGGCAGGGACAGCATAAGACTTTATAAAAATGATCACACATCAATATAGTTAGTAATCCTTTACTTGCTAACTTCAACGCCGGCATCTCTGAAGGAGCCCCATCGCAGGCCAGTCATGGCAAAGACAGGTTGTTCCTTTTCACCCTGGAAGGTAAATACATTTCATTTCAATTCGGGATTACAGTAACTTGAATCTCTCAGCATGTAAGTACTCTGCAAATGTTCATGGCCTACTCTTTATCAAACCAAAATTCTAAAAGATATGTTCAACCTTTAAAGATATTAACCCTGTAAACATGCAGTAAAAGTCCTTGAATAAGCCATACTGTCAAATGAAACTAACTTTTGCACATTAGGACTCATGAATCTGCTAGCAAGGGAATATATTACATACACCACAGATTGAGCAATACCCAGGTCTCTCTCATGTGTTTGTTCAAGGCAAAGATAATTTAAGCCTGTATTCACTACAGAAGTTCGAGAGCTCTCAAGCAAGATCAGAATCTGGATATTCTTAAATATTTTACCTAAATATCTGAAAATATAGTCAAATATTTGTCACAATGAATCAGAATAAAAAGTGATACGGGGGACCAGCCATTGGTGTAATGGCTATGTTGCTGGACTCCCAGGTAGTCGACTGAGGTTCAAGTCCTGGACCTGGTGGCTTAAACTCACGCCAGGCTCGTGTGAGTGTGTGCCCAAGATTCCAAGAGGAGAACGGAGGAGGAGGGATTGAAACGTGACCATCCCCCCTGGGGGGTGGTTTCTCACTTTCTGTCTTTCTGGAGAGTGCACACGCCCCATAACAAAAACCTCTCAAAAAGAAAAAAAAAGTGATACAGAACCGTACCACGGAGGTACAGAGGTAGTGCCATCTTTTAGCAGGCTAGAAGCTTCAGGGAAGGTCCAGGTTCAGCTCCCAGGCCAGCCTGAACATGCAGGGCAGTTTTATGCACCTGTGATCCTGGCTAATTGAGCAGCTAGGGCAGGAGAATTGCCAAAGAGTGAGGCCCTATCAAAAATACCTCTCTCTCTCTTTCCTTTTCCCTCTCTCCTCCCCTTTCTCTCATAAAGGTAACAAAAAGTGATTTAAATTTAGTCCACTGTCTGAGGCCAGCAGATGGCATAGTGGTTACCTCACTGGACTCCCACATGGCCAACAACAGTACGAGTCCCGGATCAGGTAGCTTGAAACTCATGCCATGTGTATGTGCATGTGTGACCATGATCCCAGGAGCAGAATGGAGAAGGGACTGTGGCGTGGCCATCACCCTGGGGGGTGATTTATCATGTTCCTCTCTCTCCTTCCCCAACGAGTGCATGTGCCCTAAGACAAAAACCTCTACCAAAAGAAAAACAATTTAGTCCAATGTCAAATGTTAGATATAAATATTACAGTTAAATATTGCATATGAAAATCAGTGAGTTCTAATAAGTCAATGAATTAAGCAATATACAGAAAAAGTACACAACAGAGCTGATGCGCCTAAGAGTTTATACTCCACAATTAACTATCCTTACAGTACAAGCAATACATGTACCAAGATTCTAAATGGGATTTTTCCTGTAGCTCAGAAGTTCAGCTAAATCCCAAGAACTAAAATTCTGGTAGGCACTGAGTAACCCCCTCATTCGTTTTTGTTTTTTTCTTATTTACATTTAATCATGTCTTTACAGTGTACATTTCTTTTTCCGGCACAAACACCATGCCTGTCAGTCAAGACAAAAAATATCGCTATGTACATTATCATCAGCAAATAGCTGCTAAATTTTTTTTTTGTCAATTAAGCATACTTCTGCTTTTTTCCTTTTCCTTTCTCTTCTCTCTCTCCCTTCCATACTAAACTTTTTTTCCCCACATTTTATTGATTCACAAAAGATCTTAAACTAAAAATATGGACAAAGCTAGAATCTAGTGATGAGTGCACTGTAATTTTCTGCTGAAACATTTTTTTTCTTTCTCCATTCCCTCTTTTACTAAAGAGAGGTATAAACTTATTTGCAAAAAAAAAAATTAGGTTAATCTTAATTTGGTCTGTTATTTGCGGAAAGTTCCATAAGAATTCAATTTCTGATGCAAGGCAACAAATACTATTTGTATTACTGAACTTATGCAAATAACCATTTTGCAACAAAATTAAGAGGCTCACAAATATTTTCCCATTGCAAAGGTGTCATGAAGGGAGAAAAGTTCTTCAATTAAAATAAAAAATTTAAACAAATTGTTGAAACTATCAATAACTCAAAAGGAAACCAAAATCTTTAAATTTGGAAGACAAATCAAAGAAGAAAATTAGTAGTTTTAGCAAAACTTAAAAGAATTCTAGTTTATCAGTTCAGTCTTATGCTAGTAGTTTTAGCTGAACTTAAAGAATTCTAGTTTATCAGTTCAGTCTTATGTATGTAATCACTCTCTTGCTGGATTTGTAACTTTTACTGTGACCTGATCTTTCCATTTAAATCCTGGAAGTTAACATTCAACATTATTATTGATATTTCTGAACTTGTCCCTATCATTAGGTTGGCCTTTTTCTTGGTCATTTTTTGTTCTCTTATTTCTGTCTGACTTTAGTTTTCCTGGTATAGCATTCCCTTCAGAACTTCTTGAAGAGCTGATCTGGTATTGGTAAATTCCTTCAGGCCTTATCTGAGATGTTTTGGGCTATCCTTCCCATATGATGGATAATCTTGCCAAATATAGTATTCTTGGTTTAAATTGTTTTTCACTTAACACTTTGAATATATTTTCTCATTCTTTTCTTGCCTGCCTTTGTTTCTGACTAAAGGTCCAATGTTAGCTCGATGGGATATCCTTTAAAAGTAACTTGACATTTGTGTCTTGCCAATTTTAGTATCTTGTCTCTGCCTGTGGTTTTGGTTAATCCGGCTATGGTGTGCCTTGGAGAAGATCTTCTTGGATTGATTCTATGTGGAGTCGTTTGTATTTCTTGGGTCTGGATATTTGAATGCCTCTCTAGGTTTGGAAAGTTTCCTTCCAGGATTTCATGGAATAATGCTCTGATTAGTTCCTTCACCTTCTGGGATACCAGTTATCCGGATGTTAGAGGATTGAATGGTATCTAGTATTAATCATATATATTATTCTCATTTTTTTGAGGTTATTTTCTTAGTCTTTTTGGTGAATTTTTCTAGGTCAGAGGTTCTGTCTTCTACATCTGAGATTTGATCTTCTGTATGACTAATCTGCTTTTAATACTTTCAAGAAAGGTTTTGATTTCCTGTATTACAGCCTTCATCTCTAACAGTTCTGTTTGATTCTTTTTCATGATGTGCATTTCCTCTTTGAGATCATACAAGAACTTCCTCACCTTCTGGAAGCCCCTCATTCTAAAGAGATGACAAATGCTAGACATGATTCTGTGGAATTTACTAAAAGAAAGCAGAGCCAGCCTGATTTCTACCATGCCATCTCCCCACCAAATCAAGTATAGGCAGAAGATTAAATACTGAAGGAAAATCCTTTACACTGGAAGTTGGTGGCCTAGAAAAAGTATGCTAAATCTTCTCCTCAGGGGAGGGAGTGCTTCCCCCCAACCCCTCTTTCACCCGCCTCCCCACTATGCCAAACCCAAGTGAGGGATTTCGCAGGCAATCAGACACATACAGGAGAAACCTGCAGGAAAAATACTCCCTCTCATCTCTTCATTGTGTTAGATCATTGGAAAAATCACGTTGTGTTTTTCCGGTTTTCTATGCAAAAAATACATCATGACTTTCCCAACGACCCAATATATCTACTCATGCCACGGATCTGCTTTTCTGCTCTCTGATCCACTTAAGCAAGGCATGAGGGCACTAGAGAGTGATGGCAAAGCAAAGAGGTGATGGTGAGGAACTCACCTGCTGGCACCCTAAGGACATATTAGTTTCCCAAGTGTTCAGTGGATTTTGTGGAAGATGGCAAGGCTTTGAGTCAAGATAGTACTCTATCTAAAAGTCTGGCCCAAGGGCCATAGTCCTGAATGGCTGTGAAGGCCCAAGCCTGGTTGCTGAGTGAGTGAGTTCAAAGAGGTGGAGCTAGAACAGATCTCCAACATCAGAAAACCAAATCATGGAGAGATATCCCAGGGAACTCATATGAACCCATGAGAGAACCAGCACTAGGCATCAGCAATGAGGAGAAACTATAAAATTATCTGTTACATAAAGTGATCTATCTCTGGGCACCCAGTGGTACAGTGGTTAAGGCTTTGGGATCCCAGATGGCCAACTAACTACCTGATTTGAGTTTTGGGCCCCAGTGGCTGGAAAAACTTGCTGGTGCACAAAATTCCAGAGAGGAGAATGGAGAAGGGATTGCAAGGTGGCCATCTCCCCTGGTAGCTTAAACTCACACCGGGCGCTTGTGTGTGCATGCCCAAGATCCCGAGGAGAATGGAGGAAAAGGGGCTGTGGTGTGGCCATCCCTCTGGGTGGTGATTTCTTGCTTTTTGTCTCCCTGTCTCTCTCTGTCTTTCTGGCAAGTGCACACGCCCTATATCAAAAACCTCTCCAAAAAAAAAAAAAAAATTAAAAAGGCAATATAACTCTACTGAGAAGGAACAGAAAGAAAATATTTTATATAACAAAGAGGCCAAGAGATAAGATCTAAATTGATATATCAAAAAGTAACTTTATATAACATGTTAACACTCCTGAACTGTACACATAAAAATCCTAAGATGGAAAACTTTATACTAGTTTTTAACCACAATTTTTTTTTTAAAAAAAAGTAGAATCATAAACATATTAATTAGAGATAACTACTAGAATTCACAGGTAAAATTATGTTCCTCTATGGAGTAATATCTGGGATGGGTAGCAAAAGGGACTGTTATTTTCACCATAATCTCATTTGGACCACTCCATTTTATTTTAACATGTGTATGTGCATTGGATTGATAATTTTTCAAAAACTGAAGACTCTACCTTGATTTGTAAGACATCGAGTGGAATTGTCTCTCCTTTCACAATGGCAAGTGCAGCATCTGTAATATGTCTAAAGAACACAAAAAGGAAATGACTACATTGGAAAAATAAGCAACACTTCCTTCCCCACCCCCAGTCCCTACATACACACACACACACACACACACACACTTTCTCTCTCTCTTTTCCTGCCCAGAATATCAGCAGTTGGGTCAGGAAAAAGACACAGTCCTTCAAAATAGTCAGGTGGCCAGCTCCAAGGCCTGGTAGTTAAGGCAGCTAGATCCCACATGACCAACCACACAGTCTGAGTTCCAAACCTGGTGGCTTGGGAAACAAGCTGGGTGCATGAATATGCGTGCCCAACATCCCAACGAGAGGAATAGATAGAAGAGAAAGGACTGTGGCATGACCATCCCCAAGGAGGGGATAGGCCGTGTTTACTTCCTCTCCCTCCCTCTTTTTCTCTGTTATTTCCTGGCAAAGGCACATTCCCTCTAGCAAAGAAAAAAAAAAGAAAAAACAGGGAAAAAAAAAAAGGCTTAGAAACCAAAACAAAAGAGTATACAAGAATTACTGACACAAATACAGTGGAAGGTTCTGATAAGTTTTCAAAGAAGGCTTCTGCAAGAAGTTTCTACAAGGCACCAATCATTTATTTATTTAACATTTATTAAGTCTCCACATTGTGCTTGACTCATATTTACCATTGGAAAATAAGATATTTAAATAAAAATGTATCATCTTTTATTCATTATAAGAAATTCAGGAACTTCAGAAGGACAGTATTTCTTTTTATTCTAATATCCAGAAAGAGGATAAGGTTAACTTTTTGTTTTTGTTTTTTTTTATAGTTAATCTTAGCAAAATACATCCAGAAACCAAGCTGTATTTCTTATTCACCAACATTATTAGGATGCATTCAGTTTAATTGCTAATTCTTTCGTTCAAAGACACAAGACTGTTCTTATCTATATTCTGATAGTCATGTGAAAATTCTACCGGTAAAAGAGTATTCATCAAAAGACACCTAGAACTGGTATCATTCAAGGGATGTAAAACTATGCAGATAGAACCAGTTCAAAAGTTGCTACTTTGACTAGAACCGAGGTTAGGCACATGTAAATACACAACAGACAGTCAATAAAGGAGTATTTTTCATCAACAAGGGGCTAGGAATAAGATATTTGGTCTCTTGGCCAGTCACAATGGCATGGCAGTAGCTTGATGCCCTGCCTTGCAGAGGTCACATGGGAAGGTCCTGGGTTCACATCCCCAGGTTTCCCTATACACACCGGGCACCTGTGCATCTGCCTTTGGTCCTGACTGGCTGAGATTTGAGGAGGTGGAGATGGTGGCATAAAGACCAGAGGTGCCTGCCTTTCCCTCTTTCTCTTTCAAAAAAAAAAAAAAAAAAGAAAAAACAGGGAAAAAAAAAAAGGCTTAGAAACCAAAACAAAAGAGTATACAAGAATTACTGACACAAATACAGTGGAAGGTTCTGATAAGTTTTCAAAGAAGGCTTCTGCAAGAAGTTTCTACAAGGCACCAATCATTTATTTATTTAACATTTATTAAGTCTCCACATTGTGCTTGACTCATATTTACCATTGGAAAATAAGATATTTAAATAAAAATGTATCATCTTTTATTCATTATAAGAAATTCAGGAACTTCAGAAGGACAGTATTTCTTTTTATTCTAATATCCAGAAAGAGGATAAGGTTAACTTTTTGTTTTTGTTTTTTTTTATAGTTAATCTTAGCAAAATACATCCAGAAACCAAGCTGTATTTCTTATTCACCAACATTATTAGGATGCATTCAGTTTAATTGCTAATTCTTTCGTTCAAAGACACAAGACTGTTCTTATCTATATTCTGATAGTCATGTGAAAATTCTACCGGTAAAAGAGTATTCATCAAAAGACACCTAGAACTGGTATCATTCAAGGGATGTAAAACTATGCAGATAGAACCAGTTCAAAAGTTGCTACTTTGACTAGAACCGAGGTTAGGCACATGTAAATACACAACAGACAGTCAATAAAGGAGTATTTTTCATCAACAAGGGGCTAGGAATAAGATATTTGGTCTCTTGGCCAGTCACAATGGCATGGCAGTAGCTTGATGCCCTGCCTTGCAGAGGTCACATGGGAAGGTCCTGGGTTCACATCCCCAGGTTTCCCTATACACACCGGGCACCTGTGCATCTGCCTTTGGTCCTGACTGGCTGAGATTTGAGGAGGTGGAGATGGTGGCATAAAGACCAGAGGTGCCTGCCTTTCCCTCTTTCTCTTTCATGGAAGAAATACAAATGAATACACTTTTAAAAAATTAAACATATTTGCTCTTGAAGAAGAGAAAATAAGTGGACCCACATCAGGCACTTCCTCACTCAGCCTGTCCACCCCTCCTATAACCTATCTGCTGTCTCTGAACTTGGCTGGCCATTCTCATCCTTCAGATCTTGCCTGAAATATCACTGTCTGAGACCTGCAGTTGGCATTAATGGCTATGTTGCTGGACTCCCATGAAGTCCACTGCAGTTCGAGTCCTGAACCCGGTGGTTTAAATTCACTCCAGGCGTGGGTGTGTGCATGCCCAAGATCCCAAAAGGAGAATGGAGAAGGGATTGCAGTGTAGCCGTCCCCCCCTGGGGGGGTGCATTCTCATTTTCTGTCTTTCTGTCTCTCTCTGTCTTTCTGGCGAGTGCATGTGCCCTATAGCAAAAACCTCAAAAAAAAAAAAAAAAAAAAAAAATCACTGTCTGAGGCCTACCCTAGACTAGCCTAGAGGTAGGTCCTTGTCTATAATTCTCTGCCACCTCAGTGATCAAGAATTTGTATAAGATCCTTCCCTATCATTCTCTGTCACCTCAGTGAATACTTTCTTGACTCATCTCAGTGACAGAGAATGATAGGGAAGGATCTTATATAAAGGGAAAAGTTCATTTTCCTTCATGGTAGATAATGATTTATAATATATATTTATTTGCTTTATTATCTGCCTCCTCCTGGAGACCGGATGTTCTACCAGGTTAGTGATCATTTACATCCATTTATTGGCCAATATAAAACCTATATCTAGTGGGGCCAGTAGGTGGCATGGTGGTTAAGGCACTGGACTCCCACATGGTTGACCCTGGTTCAAGTCCTGGACCTGGTATCTTGCTTTCTCACTTTTCCTCTCTGTCTCTGGTCAAATTTTAATTAATTAACTTTAAAAAAAACCTAAACCTAGCACAGCATGGCACACAACAGGCACTCAACAGTTGTTGAATGAACTGTTTTATTCTACAGAATTTTATAGTACCATGAACACCTATATATTTATAATTCAGTTTTAACAATGATCAACTCATAGCCTATCTTATTTCCTTGTCTTTACTTTTCTAATTATTTTTTATTTATATTTAATCACTGTACATCCTTGCAGTGTACAGCATGGTTTTTCCCAGCATGAATACCATGCATATTAGTCATGTCAAAAACATTACCATATACATTATCATCAACATAAAACAATTAATTTTTGTGTCTATTAAATGTTTTGTTTTATCTGGTCCCCTCCCTGCCACCCCCTACTTCAACCCCATTTTTTATTATCTCTAGTATCTACAGTTGGCCTTCCTAATTTCTCTCTTGTATCATTGCTGTCATTCATTTCACTTATATGTAAGCAGATGTGTGTATGTGTGTGCATATGCATGTATAAATGTATATGTGTGTGTTTACATATATACATACAAATATATTTTTGTATATAAATAAAATATACATAAGTAAAAATAACTGAATATACCATAATTTATCCATTCACCAGTTGATGGACATTGGCATGTTTTCAGTTTTGGGCAGTTAGAAATAAAGCAACTATAAATACTCATGTATGGGTATTAGGCAGACATTTAACTTCATTTCTTTTGAGTAAATGCCTAGACATGTAATTTTCACTAATATGTTAAGTATACGTTTACTTTTACAAGAAACTGCCAAATCATTTTCCATAGTGGCTATACCATTTTGCATTCACACCAGCAATATATGTGAGTTTCAGATGCTGAATATATTTATCAACATTGGTGCTGTCAGGATTTTTCTTGTTTCTTTTTTATTCTCCTCTGTTTAAGCCATTCTAACAGACTCATAGTAGCATCTTATCATGAATTTAATTTGCGTTTCCCTAATGACTAAAGATTTTTTTCCTAGAAGCTTTAGTTTTAGATTTTACGTGTATGTCTATGATCTATTTCAGTTCATTAAAAAAATTTTTTTTTTTTTTGCCATAGGGCACATGCACTTGCCAGAGAGAGATAGACATAAATAGAGAGGGAACCTGAGAAATCACCCCCTAGGAGGGATGGCTATACCACAGTCCTCCTCCATTCCTCTCTTGGTATTTTGGCCATGCACACATATATGCCTAGCGTGTTTTTCAAGCTGATAGTCCCGGACTCAAACCACGGAGTCAGCCTTGTGGGATCTAGCACCTTAACCACCAACCCATTGGCTGGCCCCATTTCAGTTCATTGTTATTGATAGTGTGACATACAAGGTGACGTTTGTTTTTATGTTTATTGTCCAACTGTTCCAGCACCATTTACTTAAAAGCTATCTTTTCTCCACTTAGCTGCCCTGGTACCCTTATGGAAAAACCGATGGTCCATATATATGTGGACCTAATTCTGGCCTCTTTCTTCTATTGATCTATGTGTCTCTTTACTGTCCTGATTGGTGTAGCTTTAGAGTAAATCTTGGAATCAGAGAGGGTAAGTCCTCAAACTTTATTCTTTTTCCCCCAAAATTATTTTGGCTAGTCTAGTTCCTTTGTTTTTCCCATACAAAGTTTAGAATCAATTTGTCAGTCTCTACAAAAAGCTTATGGAACTTTGATTGTGATTATGTTGAATTTATAGATTAATATGGAGAGAACTGAAATCTAAGTGTTGAGTCTTATAATCTATGAGCACAGCTGTAGCTCCACTGAAATGAATGGCCGTTATGAATAAGCTATGATAAATACCCACGGTGCAGGCATGTGTCTTTATTTCTTTTGATAGATACTCAGACGTGTGACTGCTGCTCATATCAAGGTCATCTTGATATCTCTCTTCAATGATTTGTGGTTTCCAGTACATAAATCTTTACATGTTTTGCTAGATTTATTCTAAAGTATTTCATGTTTTTTGGTAAAGATTGAGCAAAATTAGTCTTCTACTGCCTTGTTATAATATAGTTATATTTTAGAAAAATACAGTAATTTTAATAAAATGAGACTTCAAATAGTTCATGGAAAAAAGGAGGGTATGAGTTTATTTTCATAAAATAAAATTCTCAAATCTATGCAACTTTATACAATATACATTTTCCATGAACTTTCTGAAAACGCCTGTGTAATTACTCTGACTGGAGTTTAAGTACTACAACAAAGGAGTCATTTAGAAATTAATTTCCATTTAAAAAAGAGTAGTTTCTCACTTAATACAGCTTCTCCTAATCCATTCTGCTACATACGACCTGGTTAATATTGTAAATTTGGTAGGAAAGGTCATCTTTCCATGGTAACTGAACAGCTATCAAATATTTTTTCTTAAAAAAAAAAAGGTTTTTTCAGGACCAGCAGATGGCATAATGGTTACACTGCTGGACTCCCACGTAGTGAGTGGACTGTGGTTTGGGTCCTGGACCCAATAGTTTAAAACTCATGCTGGCGTGGGTGTGTGCATGCCCAAAATCCCAAGAGGAGAATGGAGAAAAAGGGATTGCAGCATGGTCATTTCCCCTGGGAGGTGATTTCTTGCTTCTTTCTGTCACTCTCTCTGTTTCGCTGGTAAGTGCACACACGCTATAGTAAAAATCTTTCTCTTAAAAGAAATTTTTTTTCCTAGATGAAACAGCAATATAATAGAAGGTTAGGAGTTTTGATTTGTTTTAGTTATATTTTAGAATCTGCAATTGTATAGCCACCCAACTTATTATTTACTATTTGTTCCTCCCAAATAAATTTGCAATATTAGTATGAATAAAGTCTTCAAGGTACCAAGTACTTAAACAGGCACAATTACGCTTACCTAACTAGTTACTAGACTTGTACCAATTTTCTGAGTATTATTAATCATTTGACGAATATAAGCAAGGGAATTGAGGTTCAGAGACATTAAACTGCCAGGGTGACAGAAAGCATGTGGTGAGATAAAATTTGTTTTCAGGTCTGATGCCGAGGTTTCCTATCTTCGTCTTGTGTGGCTGCTTTGGCAGTATTACATGAGTATTTTTGGATCCCCCAAGAGATCCCACATCTCAAATCTGGGTACTCCACAGGCCACCCTATCAGTGTGGTCAAGCTTACACTGTAAACACCTTCTTCAGTAACCATATCCACTTAAACCAGCATTTCCAACAAAGTTAGGTATAACTTAAGATAAAGTTAGGTAAAATTTAAGATACTTGAAAATATCCAAAATATATATGTTAACTCAAATGTTGGGATTAAATTCTGCGTTCCCTAGGAACCAAGTTGAAACTATTATATTGGGTCATTGGGAAAGTCACAATGCATTTTTGTATAGGAAATTTTTGTATTTTTTTTGTACATTGTGACTTTTCCAGTGATCCAATATTTTCACCTTTTTTTCCATCAATACATTTTTATCCTAATTTTTCTCTCCAGTATAGATGCTACCTGGGAAGTAGGTAGCACTTTAGGATATGAGATCAGTTTAGGAGAAAGCAAGCAGCATGCTCACAGGTTTAGATGAATTTGGTATTATCGTATTAACTCTGAAGGAAGCCATGGAAAGGATCCTACAGCACTATACTTAGTCTTAGCACTACCTAGTACACAGGAGAGGTTTAGTAAGTGCCCTTGAGAAACTGACCTTAAAAGAAAAAAACTCTTGTAATGCAAAAAAACCTTTCTATATTAAACGCTCTTTCTAAATTGCTTGGCAAAAGACAGCTAAAATGCAACCCTAAACTTACCATTCTCCAGTGACAACAAAGCTCCAAATAAAGCAGCACTGTAGCACAGAATAGCAGTTTTAGGATTATTTACCTACAACATTTCCAATCAAAGATTCTGTTTTCTCCTGTAGTAATTATGGTATGACAAATCTTGACAGAAGTACAAAAAGCGAAGCCTTGTTCTTTTTAAATAGCCTTAGGCATTTGCCATGTTAAGAGGCCTCTGAAATTCTGAATCCAAGACAGACTTACTTGATTACCTAAGAGCTCTGGTTCATGCTTATAAATTAAGTTTTATAAATTTTTAAATTATAAATAGGAGAAGCAACAGCAGTAGCTTAACAACAGGGGAATATCAGCTTCCCCAAAAGTCCAGGCAATCTCAAACCCTGAGGGTTGCCAGACCCTGCATAAATCAGCTTTTGGACAGGCAAGGAATTTTCCAAGGAAAATTATCTGCCCCTGGATCACTGGCATATGTTATTTTGAATAGTGCCTAAAGCAGTTCAAAAAATGTATACTGACCCAAGAGAGAGACAAGCTCTCTAATATACCAAGACCCAACTAGATAGGATTTATCTCAGAGAAGTAAAAATATGAGTAATTCACTGTCATTATCTATTGCCCCTCAAAAATTCTAAACTGACAATAAAAAATATGGTCAATTGAAATGGCCTCTCATGTTTGTTAGGCCTCAGGCTGGCTGGTAAACAGCAGAATGATTCCCATTACATTAAGATGTGAAGCATCAGAGAAGTTTGAAAAAGGTCTGATATATCTATGCGCATGCCTAGCATTTGATTCATGGATCAAGGTTCTTATAAAAATAAATAAAAAAGAATTGTTAAAAGATACAATAGTTGGGACTAGCAGTTGGCATAATGGCTAAGTCACTGGACTCCCATGTAGTTGACCACGGTTCAAGTCTCGGACCCGGTGGCTTGAACTCACGCTGGGCACGTGTGCATGCGTGCCCAAGACCCCAAGAGGAGAATGAAGGAGAAGGGATTGCGGTGTGGCCACCCCCCTGGGAGTAATTTCTTGCTTTCTGTCTCTCTGTCTCTCTTTATCTTTCTGGTGAGTGCACGTGCCCTACAGCAAAAACCTCTCAAAAAAAAAAAAAAAAAGTTGACTCCTAAAATTACAAGAAAAATAAATTCACAAAAACTAGTCTAATAAAAGAAGTCCATACCCAATATATGTATCAAAACACACCCTGCACGCCATAAGTATGTGCAATTATTACATGTCAACCACAACAAAAACAAGTTACAAAGCAGGAAGAAAATCCTCAACCCAAACAGAAAACCATCTGAGTGTTACTACTGTTATTGAGCCTAGAAAATTATAACCAGGAAGGTCATGGGAACATTTTAATTCATTCAACAAATGTTTATTTATTGATTTGTTCCTATTCACTGGACTCCCATGTAGTTGACCACGGTTCAAGTCTCGGACCCGGTGGCTTGAACTCACGCTGGGCACGTGTGCATGCGTGCCCAAGACCCCAAGAGGAGAATGAAGGAGAAGGGATTGCGGTGTGGCCACCCCCCTGGGAGTAATTTCTTGCTTTCTGTCTCTCTGTCTCTCTTTATCTTTCTGGTGAGTGCACGTGCCCTACAGCAAAAACCTCTCAAAAAAAAAAAAAAAAAGTTGACTCCTAAAATTACAAGAAAAATAAATTCACAAAAACTAGTCTAATAAAAGAAGTCCATACCCAATATATGTATCAAAACACACCCTGCACGCCATAAGTATGTGCAATTATTACATGTCAACCACAACAAAAACAAGTTACAAAGCAGGAAGAAAATCCTCAACCCAAACAGAAAACCATCTGAGTGTTACTACTGTTATTGAGCCTAGAAAATTATAACCAGGAAGGTCATGGGAACATTTTAATTCATTCAACAAATGTTTATTTATTGATTTGTTCCTATGTGTCACCAGGCTTACCTTAAAAATCAGGCCACTGATCTCTCAGATAGCTTTCAACTTTTTTAGGTCTTCTTGACAATTACTTGTTCAAGATGATATTATTAATCACTGTCAATCAAAGCTAGGACTCAAATTTTAAATTCTAATCTTCTTGAAAGACTAGAGTTTTGTTTATATAATGCTTTTAAGAAAATAGAACAACGATAACAATTTGTCGGACTCCTAGTTTAGATGTCAGGGCTACACTTTTCCTTGTGTGTTTTTAATCTGTGCTGCCTATCACTTCAGGTACTCCCTAATAGAGGATATGACCGCATTTACGGGTTTTGTTTTTGCTATTTACATTATCGTGATAATGAAGCCAAGGCACCTGTTCTGTTCATTTGCCATCATGTATACTTAAAGCAAGAAAATGATTGATACAAATCTGGCTTCACTACATTTTATAATGTAATAGCACAAAAACAGTCCAGTCAGGGATACTATCTTCATAACCGACATAAGGACATCAAGTATTCATTCCCATCCCTGACCTGGCGACTTATTATTAGACTTCTCTTATTACTAGATTACGTTATTACTGTATTCCCACAACCCAGCTAGGAAAGTTCCCAACAAACTGAAAGGTTGAACTCTGATCCAGATCCTCCAATTAATTATTTGAAATGTCAGACTATCAAAACTCAAGAAAAAAAAAATACGTCACATATGTGTATTTTTCACTCCCGGGTTTGCTCACCCACAAATGCTAATATTCCACATTGACAACCTACTGGACTTTGTTTCCACTTTCAGCAAAGAGGGCATGACTCAAACTACTGGTCTGTCCCAGTGGGATAAATCCAATGGGAATCTTACTGAAGGTAGCCTCATCTGTTCTTCGAAGATCCAGTAACAACCTCCTGCAGTGTCCCATTTCCTCCAGCAACAATGATCACATCTGTGCTTTCCATCAATTCCAGGAGTTTCTTGGCTTGTCCCTCATAATCTGTCTTAACGATAGTCACATCCATGCCAGATAAGTGTAAAATTGGGGCAGCATTTTTTTCAGAGTCCTTGCTTTGCCTTTGCAAGCTGAGGTAGCCTGGGGGTAAAAAAAAAAAACAAAAAAAAAAGGAAAGTTTTATTGTTATAGTCAGAAAATCAGGCTCAACAGAGAGGCACAGGTGTGACCACTATGACAAAGTAACTGACCCGTATCTGCCTCCCAGCACCCTCACCACATCCCTAGATCAGAAACCAAAGAAAACTAAGTGAGCAGCTTCTACAATGAAGCAGTCAGTAGATGGCACGATGACCCAGAATCTGGAAGAAATATCCGAGTACTTATTAATGACAACTGAAAAGAAATTTGGTTAAGCCAGAGAGGCTCTTGAAGATACTAGGTCAATGTATTAGTGCCAACAGAGACTGCATTATATATTCTCACACTATTTGAAAAAACTATTGATGGATTATTCAACTAAAAATGTGTACCATTTGTACAGAGACCAATGAGGTGAAAGGGCTTTGGAAACTATCTCTAGTACGAAAATGGCAAATAGAATAAGCAAGTTCAAGTAGCATAGAGGGTGATTTAATTAAATGCCAAAATGCAGTAGATATTATAAGGTTCCTAAAGACTATTTTGAGCATGATCCGTAACCTATTATAGAAAAGTGCATAAATTAATGTTACAAACACCCATGTTTCACAGTCAGATTTTTAAAATGTTAACATTTGCTATTTTGTCTTAGATGTTTCTAGAAATAAAGTAATATGGATACAACTGAAATTCCAACTCTCTACTTTCTCCCTTCCCAAAGGAAACTATTATCATGAGGTTGGTGTGATTCCTTTCCATCCATATTATTCTCTTTTATTACATATTTAGACATCCATTAAAAATATGTGCTATTGTTTTCTGAATTATAAAACTTTGTAGAAATGCATAACATACTTTGGCAACCTGCCATTTTTATTCAATATTTTTTAGATTTAATCATGTAGATATTTACAGACCTAGTTTATTCATTGTTAACTGCTATATAGTACTCACTATATGAATATATCATTTATTTATGAAGGAATTCTTTGAAGCAAAGGAAGATTTTACATTTTAAACAACTGTTGAACATCCCCAGTTACCAAAGCATAAAAGTTCACCATGCTAAGTGTCCTATGACACAAACTTTTCTAAAATCTATCTTTTCTAAAATCTGAAGAAGCACAACTTGTACAACTTGTGCTCACCTTAAAATGTAAAATGGTGAAAAAAAGCAAAATAAAGAAAAACAGTAGTAAGATAAGTAAAAGTTAAAATGTAATTATTCTTTAAGGCTCACCTCATCTGTTCTTCGAAGAAGTCCAGTAACAACCTACAAACATAAATATATATATATATAAACATGTATTTCTTTTATCATAAAATAATAGAATTCACTTTTCATTAACCATAAACTTAATTCTAGAAACTATATATGTTAAAAGAGATATTCGATCTTGAAACACAGTATTCTCCAAATATGACCAGAACTAAATTAGATTTTATTATTTACCTTGGATTTATGATATGATAAAGGCCAAGATAAAGTATTATAAAAACTCACTGTAATAATAACAAAATTATGTTTTAAATTCTATAAAATGGCCATGAATGTGATATACATATCAATGATACAAAGACCTTAACTTACTACTATAAAGTACACGTAGGGGGGGGAAATCACTTTGCTAAACTCAGTCTGCACTCAAATGTTTCTTATTGATGAATATGAAGATAAGTTAACTTTTTAGAAGTACTTATAAAAAACTGAAAAAATAGCTGAAGAAAAAAATAATTTCTCATAATTCCACTATATTGGATAACAAATATTAATCACTCGATTATATTTGGTATATTTCCCTCCAGTCCTTTATAATCAGTGCAGATTTTTATATGATTGCAATTATAACAAATACGCAATTTGTATCTGTTTAAAAATGTTTTGTAAAGTAAAGGCTGGCACAATACTCCTTTCATATTCTCCTGCCTCACTGAATTTTAGGATTAAATGGAGCCATCAAGAAGAAGTCTACTTCATTCTTGGTAGACATGTGATCGGTCTTCTTCACACTTCATTAAAAAGTCATAAAAACAAAGACAAGATCATTAGCACAGCCTTTGAAAAGAAGCTTAGTAAGGCTCACGTAATTGCTAAGTCAAATATAGGACAGTGCCCTGTGTGCTGTTAGCTTCTGATCCCTGAACACCAATGAAATCACCAAATGGAGACAGAAGGCCATGAGCATCAGGACTGCATAGCTGAGCAGCAGGCAACCACCGCACTGGGCTCTTAGGGTTTCCAGGATATCGTGGCTGCACCAGACTGCTGCATGAACAAGACGTGCCCTTGCAGGGCTGCATACTTACAGTCCTTATTGGACCAATGTAAACATTCAGGGTATGTTAGCTAAAAAAATTAATAATATTTCCTTTAAAGAAGTTTTAGGTGCATAGCAAATTAAGAGGACGGTACAGAGAGCTCCCAATATCCCCTTCCCCGACATGTGTATTACATGTCCATTATCAACATCCCCCACCAATGTGGTACCTTCGCAACAAGGAATGAACCTGCACCAACACATCGCTGTCAACCAAAGTCCATAGTCTGCAGTAGGGTTCATTCTTTCTGATGTATGTTCTATGGACTTTGACAAAATTATAATTACATGCATCTATTATTGTAGTATCACAGAGAATAGTTTCACTGCCCTAAAAATCCTTTGCTCTGCCTATTCATCCAATCCAATCCCTTAACCTCTGGCAATCATTAATCTTTTTACTGTTTCCATAATTTTGCCTTTTCCAGATGTCAAATGCTTAGAATTATAGAGTATGAGAGGGTCTTCAAAAAGTTTATGGAGGGCTGACTCCCATGGCACAGCAGTAACGCACTAAAGAGAAACTAGGTCCCCCATGGTGACCACTGTTCAAATGCCTGAAACATACACATGAGTGCCTAAGACCTGGTGGACTATAGGACAGAAGTCACAGCATGACCACACTATAAAGGGTGCTCATCTCTCTCTCTCTCTTTGTCATTCTCTCTCACACACATATGTGTGCACACTCTCCATCATGAATAAAGAAAAAAATGTTTTAAAAATTATTCATAGAGGGACCAGCAGTTGGCATAATGGCTATGTCACTGAACTACCATGTAGGCAACTGCAGTTCAAGTCCTGGACCCAGTGACTTAAATTCATACCAGGCACATGTGAATGCATGCCCAAGATCCTAAGAGGAAAAAGGAGAAGGGATTGCAGCACGGCCATCCCCCCTGGGGGTGATTTCTCGCTTTTTTCAATCTCTCTGTCTCTCTCTGTCTTTCTGGCGAGTGTGCGCACTCTATAGCAAAAACCTCTCAAAAAAAATTATTCATAGAAAATCCAAACTATGAAAATACTATGCATGAATTTCAAAAAGTTTTTGCACCAAAATAAACTTGTACTTTAATTTAATCTTTTCACAAACTTTTTGAAGTCCCCTTGTATGTAATTTTGTTCAGATTGGTCTCTTTTACTTAGTAATATGCATTTAAGTTTTCTCCATCTGTTTTTGTTTTGTTTCTAATTTTGCCAGAGAGTGCATATGCTTACCAGGGAGAGAAAGAGAGAGAGGGAGAAAACATCCCCTAATGTAGCGTGATCATGCCATTTCTCCACACTGCTGGGATTCTGAACATGTACACACATGTCCCCAGAGTGTTTTTCAAGCTACCAGGGCCAAGATTCAAACTATATGGTCAGCCATGTGGGATCCAACTCCCCTAATCACTAGACCACAGGACTGGCTCTCTCCATGTCTTTTCATAGCTTAATAGCTCATTTATTTTTAGTACTGAATAATATTCTATTGTCTGGATGCACTACAGTTTGTTAATCCTTTCCTCTACTGAAGGAGAGCTTGGTTGCTTTTAGGTTTTGGAAGTTATGAATAAAGCTGTTATAAACACCCATATGCAGGCTCTGTGTGGACATAGTTTTCAATGCTATTTGGTAAAGATTGTATGGTAAGAGTATTTTCTTACCATACTTAGTTTAAAAAAAAAACACTCGACTGCTCTAAAGTGGCTGTATCACTTTGCGTTTCTGCCAGAAATGGACGAGAGTTCCTATTGCTCCTCATCCTCCCCAGCACTTGATACTCCAGTTCTGTATTTTGGCCATTCTAAAAAGTACACATCATTGAAAATACATAATATCAAAACAAAAGCAGATGCATATATCTGCACATGGAGACTTCTTCCTATAAATGTACTATTAAGAAATAATACATGGGACCAGCAGGTGGCGTAATGGTTACGTCTTGGACTCCCGTATAGTTGACAGTGGTTTGAGTCCCAGACCCAGCAGCTAGAGATTCACATCATGTGGTGTGCATGGCCAAAATCCCAAGAGGAGAATGAAGGAGAAGGGACTGTGGCATAGTCATCCCCTGTGGGGGGTGATTTCTTGCTTTCTGTCTCTCTGTCTCTCCAGTGAGTGCACACTCCCTATGGCATAAATGTCTCTAAAAAAAAAAAAGAGAGAGAGAGAGAAAGAGAGAGGAAATACATGTGATGGAAATAATGTAAGAATAGACAGACACATTTTTTAAAAGTAATATTTATTTAAGTCGTTTTTATAAGAAACATTCCTCATCACTGAAATTATAATTCTGTTACAAAGAGAGTTACTTCATTAAAGAGTCTTTAAAATACAGGAAGTTTATCTCACCCACCACCATTTTTGTCTCATGTTTTATTCAACTTTATAAAATTTCAAAGTGATAACACAAAAACCCTTTTATGTACTGGATAGAATGCTTATAAAAAGCAGTGAAATAAAAGTACATGAGAAAAATTTAAAGCTACACCAGTTTTAGACATTAACAGACCCCAAAATACAAATTACAAAAAAAAATTCTTACAATCTAAATGATGTATAGAGATTGAATGTATAAATAATAAATAAATGAAAAAATTATCATCACTTTCTGCCATTGCCCTAAGATCTATATTCCATCTTTCTCACCTTACAAATGGGTTCAAAAAGAAAAAGTCATACCTCCTGCAGTGTCCCATCTCCTCCAGCAACAATGATCACATCTGTGCTCTCCATCAATTCCAGGAGTTTCTTGGCTTGTCCCTCATAATCTGTCTGAAGTTCAAAAGAAGGTTTTTGTAAATTTATTATCCTAGGTACACAAAATTAAAGGTTAAACAGCATGATACGTTCCTTAAAGTTTTACATTGACTCTCTTCTTTAATTTCACATAATTGATACACATGAAAAAAAAACAAACATCTAGCAAAGCAATTATGTGTAAATTTTATTGTTTTATACTTTTAGAGCTGGAAGGGACCTCAGAGGCCATTTAGTCAGTTCCTTACTTTAAAAATAAAATTTCAGCATCATCATCTGTCTCAGTTTCACAGCTAGCTGGCCAAAGGGCTCACTGCCAGCCCAGGGCAGATTACATCACTTACTAATGCTTTTCATTTGAAAGCAGGAAGCCAAGTGTATACACGAACAGAAAGAAGCAGATGCAATGAAAAGAGCACAGATTTGGGAACCCAAGGGATCTATATTACATCCTAAGTCTGCTACTTTTTAGCTGAGTGCCCCTAAACCCTCTGGATCTTAATTTCTTTAGCAATGAAATTATCAGTGTAATAAGAGCTTCTTTGTGATACTGTTGTAAAGCAGTGTGTAATGGAACTGGCAAGGTAATGGTTCATAATTGGTATTGCACTAAATAAAAGGAGGTTATTATGGTTTTACTGTGGTGGTACATACAGAACAACAGGTATGATTCAAAGTAGTCACAAAGCAGTACCTAAGCCTAACATTTTTATTGAGAACAGTTGATCTCACAGATGTACATAGACTTAAATGAACCATTGAAGCCACCAATGATATGTATACATCTAAAACCAAACACTAAATATTAACAGACATACTATTAATACAACTGATATTAAGATAGGAAACACTCCCTCTGATACTACACTAGACATACTAATAGGCATAAATTAAAATCTGGTTTCGGATGGGCTAAGCATCTCTACAGTGGTATAATATAGGATATATCTGTTTTTGTCCTCAGTTCCTGGCACAGAGCTCCTAAAACCCTGGAATTTCCTGAGTGAAGGAAGTATCTTTTGTTCTTCATTCCAAGTCTCTCTGAACCATACCTGAATTTGTGCTAATGAGGTGACTTTTCAAGATGAAGGCTGGCTAACAGAAAGGCCAGGAAGGAGATTAGATGGTTGAAACCTTTAGCCCTACCTCTGACCTCCAGGAGAGGACAGGGGCCTCAGCTAGAGTTCACCCATCAACAGTTGAGGATTCAATCAATCACGCCTGCTTACTGGGACCTCCACAAAAACCCCAGTGGAGTTTGGGGAGCTTCTTGGCTGGTGAGCATGTTGAGGTGCCGAGTAGGCTGCACACCCAAGAAGAGCACAGAAGTTCTGTGATGGCCCCTCTACCCCCCAAATTTGCCCTACGCATCTTTCCATTGGCTGTACCTGACTTGTATCCTTTCTAATAAACCAGTTAGCGTAAGCAAAGCGTTTTCCTACATTTGGACCCTGAGAAAAGAGCTCTGAGAACCTTCAATTCATAGCTTGTTGGTCAGAAGGACAAGCGACCACCACCTCCACACCCCCAGACTCATGACTGCCACCGAAAATGAGGGTAGCCCTGGGAGACTGATCCCATAACCTGTGGAATCTGTACTAACTCCAGAAGTTGGCGTCAGAACTGAATGGAACTGTTGGACACCAGCTGGTACAAGAAAATGACCCAGTAGCTGAGCCAACAAATCCTAATATGTCATTAATTCACAGCCCAGAGGAAAAAGGAAGTCCCTAAAATACCGCATTTTAATTTAATGATTAATAGTTCTACTTGTACTCAAAAAATGAAATAGCTGACTCTGTAGTTATAAACTTGTAAATATTTGATTAAAAAATATATGTCAAACTGGATTTTTTTTTAAAAAAAGATTGTTTGCAAATAATCAGAAATAGGTGATCATTAGGAACTGGCATGAATTTGTTAAAAGCAAGCCACTTCAGACTATTTTCAGTTTGTTCTTTGACAGTTCACTAGATCAGTAGAATCCTAGACCATTTTAACATTGCTAACAGAAATACCAAGACTGGTTACAAAAAAATAGGGGATTATTAACTCACAATTCTGGATGCCAGAAGATCCCAAGGCATGGTCATGGCACCAGGCTGACCTACAGCATGGCCAATGGAAGGCTGGAGGATAGCAGGTCCCTGCAGAGGTAGCTCTCTCTCTTATGGTAAGCAACTCTCAGGAGAGATAAAACTAACTGGGTCTCTTAGACATGTGTAATCTATTCACAAGAGTGTTGCCTCCATGATGCAATCACTATGAGCCAATCACCGGCTACTAAGCATCACCACCTCTCAAACTCAAATTCCCAAACATGACATTTTGAAGGGCAAACCATCAATCTAAATGGAACAAGTAAATCTTGGAAATTAGACAGGTGCATTATATTTGGCTCCATCAAATCATCTGATGGCATCCCCACGGACTGGACAAAGAAATGTAGGAACAAGATACAAGAATACAATGAACTGTAGTAGCTACCAAGTGAATGTCTATGCTCAAGTGAGATGCTCAACAGAATGATGTCAGATTGTTGCAAGATTCCTAGGACACTTCATGAGGGCTCTGCCTTCAACCTTTTTCTAGATGACACTTTATGAACAACAGGGATAAAGGTAATTTACTGAATATAAAAGTGACACAAAGTTGACAATCTTGCTTGTTACTTCCCCAAGGTCATCCTACCTCAGTCTTCTCTCTTGCTCATCTACTCTAACCACACTCGTCTCCTTATTCTTCCTCAAACATGCCAAGGACACTCCCTCAAGGCTTATGTGCAGTATCTTAGACCTAAATTTTCTCCCTCAAGATTTGCATGACTCATTTGTTTCCTTCAGGTCTCTCTTAAAGATTACCTCAACACGCCAGCCTGCCTTGATGATCTCAACTAAAATAGCACCCCTATTACTCTAACTCCTAACCCTGCTTTATCTTTCTTCTTAGCTCTCCTCACCACCTGACAATCAAATGTGTATCTGTATATCTGTTTTTTATCTTTGGTCTTCCCTTTGAAACTTGGAAAGGAAGCTCTTTAAAGACTCATAGGGAGTTTTTGTTCAGAAGGTATCCCCAACACCTAGAACAGGGCTTAGCTCATTGTAGGCACTCAATGTCTGACCAAAAAAAAAGGAAAGTATAAATACAAATAGGTACATGAATGGAAAAAAAATTTCAAGAGTTCTTAACTGATTTAACAGACTATAATTAAAAATATCATATAAATAGGATAACACATTTGATGTTCTGATCTTAGGGAAAAAAATCCCAAGTGCACCAAAATAGGAAGGATAAAAAGGTGGTCTAACAATGAGAATTAAAAAAAAAATTTAAATATTGACCTCACAACTTTCACAAAAACTAACTCAAAGTGGATTGTTGACCTAGAGATAAAATTTTAAACTTCTAGAGGGTAACATAGGAGAGAATTTAAGTGATCTTGGGTTTGGCAGTGAGTTTTCAGATACATCACTCACTAGAAGCAAGATCTATGAAAAAAATTGATAAATTAAACTTCATTAAAATTAAACTTCTGCTTCATAAATGCTATCGAGAGAATGAAAAGACAAGCCACAAACTGAGAGAAAAAAAATGTACAAAATACTAATTAAAGGACTTGAATGTAAAACATAAAATGAACCCCCAAAACTCAACAATAAGAAAAACAAGCAAGCCACTTCAAAGGGCAAAGATTTGAACAGACATCTCATGAAAGATCCACAAATAAGATAATAAGCATATGAAAATATGCTCAACATTCTCCATCATTACGGAATTATAGATGACAATGATGAGACAGAATTGCACGTCTATCAGAATGGCTAAAATCTGAAACACTAAAGATAAATTCTGAAGGGATATTTAACAACCAGATCCTCACTCACTGCTAGTAGGAATGCAAAATTGTATGGTCACTTTGGAAAACACATTGGCAGTTTCTTACAAAGACAAACATACTCTTCCCATATTATCCAGCAGTAGTACACTTCTAGTATTTACCCAAGTGAGTTCAAAATGTAGGTTCACACAAAACCTGTGCATGAATGTTTACAGCAACATTATTTATAATTGCCAAAACTGACAACAAGCAAGATGTACATTGGGAGGTAAATGGGTATACTGTAGAGTAAATTCAGACAATAGAATATTAGTCAGCATTAAAAAAAAAAGACCCATCAAACCATGGAAAAATCTAAATGAAAGAAGGCAATCTGAAAAGACTACAGCCTGTTGGTTCCAACTATATGACACTTTTTAAATGGCAAAAGTATGATGATAGTAAAAGGATCAGCAGTAGAGGGAGGGGTGAACAGGTAGAGCACAGGGGATTTTTAGGGCAGTGAAATGATATTGTAATAATAGATGTAATGCATTAAACATTTATTGAAACCCACAGAACCATACAACACAAACAGTGAGCCCATATAAAAACTATGGGTGTTGGGGCTAGCAGGTGGTGTGGTGGTCAAGGCATTGGATTTCTATGTGGCCAGTTGCAGTTTGAGTCCTGGACCAGGCAGACTGCTTTCTCACTTTTTGTCTCTCTCTGTCTCTCATGAGCATGCGTGCCCTATAGCAAATTAAATAATAATAATAATTAATAAATAAAATAAAATAACTCAAAAAATTATGGATGCTAATAATAATGTATCAATTTTGTTCACTAATTATAATAAATCTATCACACTAATGCAAGATGTCAATAACATGAGAAACCATGGGCGGGAGGGGAAAGAGGAATTCCTTAAAACTGATCTTAAAAACTCCCATGTAGTCGACTGTGGTTCAAGTCCTGGACCTGGTTGCTTAAACTCATGCCAGGCACATGTGCATGTGTGCCCAAGATCCCAAGAGGAGAATGGAGAAGAAGGGATGTGGCATGGCCATCCTCCCGGGGGATGATTTCTCACTTTCTCTCTGTCTCTCTCTTTCTGATGAGTGCATGCACCCTATAGCAAAAACTTCTCTAAAAATACTATAACTACTACTACTACTACTGCTACTATTACTACTAATAATAATGTTTACTATTTTTTTAAGTGGCCTTATGGAAATTAGAAATGAAATACAGGGGCTTTGGGGAATGATGTGCCCAATGTGACTCAAAAGCATGATATATCAACAAAAGTGTGTGATCTTGTGGTGCTTAAAAAATTTTAAAAAGGTAGGCCAGCCCAGTAGCCTAGTGGTTAAGGGCATTGGATCCCACATGGCTGACTGAGTTTCAAATTCTTGCCCTAGTGGTTTGAAAAATGCATGTGTGTCCCAAGTCCCAACAGAATGGAGAAGTGGAGGAGCAGTGATTGTGACATGACTATGTCCCATAGGGAATGCTTTCTCTCTGGTGAGTACATGTTTTTTTGGCAATTTAAAAAAAGAAAGAAAGAAAAGAATAAAAAGGAAAAAAATAAACAGAGTATGTAATGAGAGACTTAGACCACATCTGCTGTTGCAAACATTTCTGGGCACCACACTTGAAGAGAAAGGCAAACTGGAGGACACCTTTGAACAGGGACGGTAACAAATTTGAACTATGTCTCTTGTGAAGACACTGGGATATTTAAACTGCAGAAGCTTAAGAGAAGGTCATGATAATATTCTTCATTATTCCAAAACTATTATGCATATGAACACACGCCCAGGATCCAGAGAGAATAAAGAACTGAGGGACGAGGACTGCAGTGTGACCAGGCCCCACTGGTTGACTCTCACTCTCTCTCTCTTCTCTTCCTCTTTTTCTTTTTCTCTCTCTCTCTGCTTCCCTAGTATAGGGACAGAGTGAGAGAGAGACAGAGATACCCTCTGGCATTGAAAAGAGAAAAAAAAAAAGAATGAAAATGGGACATCACAGATGCAATAGTAATTTTAAAAATTAAGGTATCATGAACAACTGAATACCAATTAATTTGAAAACTTAGATGAAATCAACAAATTTTGCCCTATCAAAATTTAGTCAAGAAGAATAGAACATCTAGAATAATTAAAGAAGTTAAAGAAAATTTCCCCTTAACAAAAGCACCAGGGCCCATCAGGTGCCTGTGAATTCCACCCGTCATTCAGGGAACAAATAGAGTATCAGATTTATTTTTTTAAAGAATTATTTAATTATATTTATCATCATCCTTTTTTAAAAGATTTATTTATTTAACTTATTTATTTATTTTAATTTGACCAGAGAGAGATAGAGAGAAAGAGAGAGGGGGAAAGTGAGAAAGCAAGCTGTCAGATCTGGGACTCGAACCACAGACAGCTATGTGGGAGCTCAGTACCTTAACCACCATGCCACCTGCTGCCCCTATCATCATCATTTTTCAACTTGACCAGAAATAGACAGTTTGAGAAAGGGAAAGTGAGAAAACAAGTTGCCAGGTCTAAGACTTGAACCATGGTTGGCCATGTGGGAATCCAGTACCACAACGACCATGCCACCTAGAACTTTCGGTTTTAACATAATTATTCTAATGTTTCTCACATCCAGAGAGTCTGGCACATTCCAAATACTTGAAAAAAATGTTAGTTTCCTTCTTTTTCCTATCCCGGGTGCTTAACAACTGATAGAACACATCTCAGACAAGCTGGAAAAAGAACTTCAATATTCTAGGATAAATTAGACTAGATGATTTATAATTCAGTGAAAGTATATACATTAGAAATATGTTCATCACAGACTTAAAACATGGTAAGAGTAGTTTTCACTAAGCATACCTCCCCAATGTAAACACCACAAACATATCACTTAGAATCCAACAAAGTGGAGTCTTGAGGCATTTTCTGAAGTAGCGCAATTCCTACCTTCTTCCTGACCCCATTTCTTCTTACCTAAGTCTCACAAACTACTTTTTAAAGCTCTTCCAGAGGATATTCCTTACCAGAGAGGAAAATGTTTACTGTGTGTGGAACTTCCTATAAATTAATCACTCAAACTTCAAAGTTTTTTTTTTTTTATTTTCAAGAAAAGAATTCTTACAGCTACAACCACTTTTATGTTCCAAAAGATGTAATCCCACATCCTATCTCTCAGACGAAAGGTAGCAAGTTCCTTAAGCCTCCATCTAATCCTATTTTTAAAACGGAAAGCTGACGATATTTTGAAAAATAAGAAAACAAAACTGCTTTTTATTAATTATCAGAACAGGACACAGTCTTGATTTCTCTGCTCTTGTCTTCGTAAGTGACGGGTGATTTCTGCTAAGACGTCAAGAGGACTTGTGGTAAGGGGTGATGGCTCGGAGAACGTAAACACTCCAGGGTTGTTCTTACCTTAACGATAGTCACATCCATGCCAGATAAGTGTAAAATTGGGGCAGCATTTTTTTCAAACAGAGTCCTGGCTTTGCTGTACACAAAGGAAAAAAACAGAAATGTCAAACACAAGTTCTGAAGAGAGAGAAGCAAATGCCCAACCATTTCTCCTCAGTAGAAGAAGAAGATAAAGCACAGATGGTCTTTGCTAGTTCAAGCACAGGAAGTTTAACAATGAGAAATAAGGAACCACAGATAGGAAAATAGAATCTTTCACTCTGGGGTCTCCAGGACTTACCCCTGGTCTAACACAGTAAGTTCTTACCCTTTTGGGACACTTATAGCACTTCTACTTCTAGATGAAGAAATGACACTAGGTACGGCTCCACTCAGGCCACACTGCTTGATTCACTCAGCAAGTATTGATTGAGCCATAAATGTGACTGACGACAGGTAGAGGAGCTGGGGTACAACATGACAAGGCAGACGAGACTACCTGTCCTCATGGAACATAATTACACCCTAGAGGTGGCAGGAGGGGAATGTCTTCACGGTAACATTATTCATACACCCCAAGGGGATGGAGTGAACAAAACAGAATATTGCTTAATTCTAACCCAGTGAATGCATCCATTTGGGGAAAGACACATCATTTTCAACAATTTCAAATACTGGCAGTATCTCTATTTCTTGAGTTTTAAACTTGTACTGAAATCCTTGGAAACAGAGCAAAACTCTTTTCCAGGTAAACAGAATTTCTGCCAGAAAAGCGGAGGGTTCAAAAACATCTAATGTAATGGTAAGATAATTCATTGGAAGCTTGCTCTAATCTCTCAGCCCCCATCATGGCCTTCTCTGTGCTCCCGCCGCACTTTACACAAACCTCTGTCGGCAACCTTCACACCATAAGACAGCAAGCGATTTGCAAGACTGTCTTTGGGACTAGACTGGAAGCTTTTCAAAAACAGATACCAAATCTCACTAGTCCGTGAATACCCTGGCCTCTAGGATTGTGGATGGCACACTTAGAAGGTACTCAGTAAGTATCTGGTAAATGAACTGAATGAGTGAACAAACTTGCCTCAGTGTAGACATATCAATTCTGGGAAAAAGAAAATTACATAATTGTGATATCTTATAAAAAGAGAAACAGCAGCCCTCAGAAGAGTTTGTGTATTTCAAAAGTATCATGCCATCATTCTCACAGTGAATTCTTGTCCAATGCAGGTCAAGATTCTAAAACACAACCTAAGAATCAAAGGATACAGAAGTTATAAGAAGCACCCACCTCCACTGGCATAGTCTCAAAGTCTAATACATGTCAAAGTTTACAAATTAGTTGGCCTTTTATCCAATTCTTTTTTTTTTTCTAGAGAGAGAGAGATTTTTGCTCTAGGGCACATACAATCCCTTCTCCATTCTTCTCTTGAGATTTTGGACGTATACGCACACACACCTGGTATGAGTTTAAGCCACCAGATCCAGGACTTGAACCGTAGTCAACTATGTGGGAGTCCAGCGACATAAATGTTACACCATCTGCTGGTCCCTTATCCAAATATTTTCAACTATCACATAAAAAATAAAAACAAAAAAACAAACAGAAAAGAAAAACTAGTGTAAGGGCTCCAGACGGCCAGTGCCAACACTTTTACTTCCATGTTTACTCAGTCCTCTCTCAGTCCCCTTTTCTCTCTCCTTATTTTTGGTTTTTGCTTTTGTTTTGTTCTTTTGAGAGAGATTTTTGGTGTAGGACGTAGGCACTCACCTGAGAAACAGAGACAAAGAGACAGAAAGCAAGAATTCACTCCCTGAGACGGATGGCCCCACCACAATCCCTTCTCCATTATCCTCTTGGGATTTTAGGCATGCACACATGTGCCCACTGCAAGTTTTAAGTCGTCAGGTTCGGGACTCAAACCACGATCAACTATATGGGAGTCTAGCAACATAACCCTTACGCCATTTGCTGGTCCCTAGATTATGTTTTTACCAGTGGTCATGCTGAGGTTCTCTAAAGAATATTTTATAATAGAAAGAAATATCTAATACAATGGAAGCTAATAAGGAAGATGTACAGCTACATACAAACTCAACATAATACCTTTGAAGTAAAAAGAAATAACCACCAAATGGGATATAAAACACAATACACTTCTCATGAGAATAACCATGGAGACGTTTGGATAAATGTCACAAAAATCATCCAAAAGAATATTTCAAACCAAGGACTTGCCTGAGCATGTAATAAGCAACTTAAGTATACCCTATTTTTTCTCCTGCTCTGAATGATTAGTAGAATGAACATGAAAAGTTAAATGGATTTTTTTCCTCCTCAGCTCACCATTGTGGCTTAACCAACAAGAAGAAGTGAACTAGAAACACTGCAAACGATTCTTCCAGGGTGGTTTTAGTTACTAGATTAAGGAATGGTCAGCTGGACATAGATCAGTTCTGTTTCCTAAAAGCAAAACTCTAGAGAAGTCTTGATCAGCCATATCAATCAACAAATCTGTACCCTTCTGTGATCTAGTTTAAGAAACAAGGTTTTGGGGTCAGCAGGTAATGTGGAGGTTAAGGCAGCTAGATCCCACATGGCTGACAGCGTTTGAGTCCCAGACCCAGTATCTTGAAAAACATACCAGGTGCATGTGTATATATGCTCAGAATTCTGAGAGGAGAATGGAAAAGGGATTGCAGTATGGCAAACTCCCTGGGTGGAGGAGTGATTTCTCACTTTCTCTCTCTCTCTTTCTCTCTGTTTCTCTGTCTCTCTGTCTCTAATAAGCACATGTGCCCTATAGCAAATTAAAAAAGAAAAGGAAAAAAAAGATTTGAATATTTGGGTCTTTATTCACATCTTTATATGATGCCATGGATACAGAAAGTCTCACAAATTAAGATGAGAACTTTTTCCCCTTCTAATGTTCCACATATAAGATTGAAGAGCAAATGTTACCAGTAATAAATACATTATTTATTATGTAATTAAGGGTGAGATAGCACTGGGGCTAAATAAAAACTCTAGGTATAGCAATTTCTAGGCTCAGGCATACACAGACAAAATAATTACTCTTTAATGTATTATTTATTAATGCTAAACACACAGTTATCTTATTCTTAAAGTTCTTATGTAGTTTTAAACCAGTACTACATAATGAAATAGCTACATGATGAATTATACATTATGTGTCAAGGCAGAGCCATGATGACAAAAATAGTGCAATTAAATAGTGAAAGCTTTAAAAAAAAAAAAGATGTTGGAGAGTTTCAGAGTGGCTGCTTTTTAGACGCATACAGAGATCACCTTGTTAAAGGAGATGATGCCTTTAGAAAAGGCAGGCTTTCTTTCAGTGGTGGCATTTTAGCTTGCCTGTAAAAATATTGTATCTTTAAGGCCAACCCCATAGGGCACTTATTAAGCACTATGTATTGGGAGCTGGATTCTACAAGGCCAACTGAGATTTGGATCCTAGCCCCAGCAGCTCAAAAACACATCAGGCACATGTGTGGGAGTGCCCAAGATCCAGGCGGAAAGGAGAAATGGAGGAAAAAGTGTGACCCCTGTCTGGAGGTGCTTTCTCTCGCTCTCTGTCTCTGGCGAGTGCATACGCCTTCTGGCAATTAAAAAAAAAGCTATACTTTTAAACAAAAATCTGCCTAAAAATACAAAAATAGGGCTGAGTAGTCAAGTGGTTAAGGGAGCAAAAATCACATAAGGCCGACTGAAGTTCAAATTCCAGCCCCGGCAGCTTGAAAAACACATAAGGCAAGCGTAAGCACATTCTCAAAATCCCGACAGGATGAAGAAAAGGAGAAGGGATTGCAAAATGACCACACTCCACTAGGGGAGGTGCTTTCTACTTCCCTCTCTGTCTCTCTCTCACAATTCCATGTACCCTCTGTCAAGTAGCTTTTCAAATGCAAATATATGTAAAAATATAAATAAAACCTAAAACTGCTCTGAAAAAAAAATTTTTAAATACCTCTTAGAAGTAGGAAAACAAAATAGTTATAGCTAAAACAATTTGCCATAAATTTCTTTACCAGAAATTAGCAAGTTACTAACTTACCAGGTCTTTAAAGGAGCAGAACATAGAACGCTTACGATAAAGTGGGTTTGGGCAAGAGCAAAGAGGAAACGTGAACCTAGACCACAAGTCAGCAACAACAATCACAGCAGCCTATGTTTCTCACTATGAAACGGAAATAGTTCTTGACACCCCACAGGCAATAGCTCACTGAACACTTAAGGCACCTATTCTACATGGTAATTTTGTAAGATGTGTGCGTATTGCTTTCTGATTTTACAGATGAGTAAACTGAGGATTTAAGAAGGGAAGGAACCAGGCCATCTCCATGGCAAAGGAAATGCACTCATTGCTCAAGAACAGTCGGAGCTGTTCAAATTCCTGGCCCCGTCAGCCTAAAACACTCTGGGTACACATGCAAGTACCCAAGATCCAATGAACTGGAGGAAAAAGATCACAGAATGATCACAGCCTGGAGACAATGCTCATCTCTCTTTCTTTCATGTTCATGGACACTCATTCTACCATGAATAAAGAAAAAACAAAAAAGGGAGGCTATAAGAAGTGAAAGAACTCCCACAGCATCAGAACTAGTAAGCAGCTGACAATATACAACCAGGTCCCCCAACCCCAAAACCTACCCTGAGCTCTCTGCTATCTCTTCTCATAGGCCGCCACTCACTATTGAAGAACTTTGGCTAGTTTCATTGTGGTAGGACCTGTTTATCTGTTGGGAATGTTTTATATTGGTATTAAACAGTAGTGATCAAGAAGAATTATGACTGGTGTGCCCACGAGAAGTGACTCTAACGAAAGCCAGGCAATTAGATTCAATTAGGCAGGCAATGAGCTAATTTAGATTATTTGTAGATTTAAAAAATAAATAAATAAAAGTCTTAAACCACAGAATTCAAAAGAAATAAGAGAGCCACACAGTGGCACAGTGGGAAAATGCAATGTTTGCAAGGCAGTTCTTCATGAAGAGGTTCTTAGTTCAAGTTCAGAGACCTCCCTGAGCATACCGGACTTGTGCCTGCCCATTTTCCAGGACTGACTGAAGGTTAGGGGCAGATTGCTGTATTGGGACCCTGATGGGGTATTATATCTGTCTCCCTGTCTCTGTCTGTCTCTTCCTATGGAATAAATAAATAACTTAAAAAAAGAAAGAAGAGATGATTTGTCCTCATATCTCTGAAGCTGTAATCACTGCCCCCTGAGAAATGGCCAGAGAAACTGACCTCAGAGCCTTCACTGTCTCTGGACAATACAATACAGTGTCACTCTCATCACCTTCAACCTGGCCCCAACTATTCTTGTTGTTGCTGTTCTTATTACCTTAATGTCATTTGACTTAGATCTCATAGGGTCTTCTCTAATACATATTTATTAATTGTCTGATCCTCAGAAAAGCCAAAAAGAATTGTTCTGAAGATTAAGGAGAATAAAAGACATCACTGTGTTTCTTTCAATCCTTTAATTCTGACTATATTTTAAAAATGAATTTGAAATAATTTCTTCCAAAGCCATCAAAGTCTTTGTATTCACCTTTCCAAATGAGTGAGAGCTACAGCTAACATTGTGAAACAGTTTTATTGCCTATAGTATCTTTTCATTAAGAGGCTTTGAATTCCCACGTACCTTCTCATTCCCAGAGCCTCCTCCCTTTCAGTGTGGTACACTGGTTACAATTAATGAACAAACACAGACACCTCCTTATCCATCAAAGTCCCAACTATCCTTCACCCCTAAATCCCACACTTCCTCACACAACCCTTCCAGGCCAGCCAGTCACAGACTGCTCCATGACATAACAAAGACAGAACAAAGTCCACCCTGTCTGCAGGCCTCTGCCAGTCAGGGAGAGCCAAGGTTCTCCTCCATCCTGTGTCCTCCGAGATGGAGTTCAAGGTTCACTCCTTGGTGAAGCACATCGACTTTCTTAGGCAGGTGCCAGGCCATCTCGAAATGCCTTGTCTATAGAGACGGCCTAACAATTCATGTCGCCACAGCTGAGCGGTCATTCCCAAGGGGACTACTCCCAAGAAGATAACACTTCTTTATGTCTGTTAATTCTAGAATGATTATTAAACCTCAATTAGACAAGTTTGCTAAGCATCCATTAGTTTTATGGTTGTTTCTAATTAACTGTTATTTCTGCATTACGAATGAACCTCACTGCTGGAAGAGTACTTCAAGCTAGTTCTTCTACTTCCACTTGCTCTAACTAGCTGTTTGAGACCCTGTGATTTTTTTTCCCGTAAAATAACAGAATATATAACATATCACAAAATGAAATACCCTTTGCAAGCTGCAGGATTGAGAAAGACAGTTGCCTTCTTCACTTGAGCATTGGGAGGAATCAGCTGATTGCCGAACACCTAAAAAAAGAGTTTTCAGTTAACATTCTTTCATTTGGTTAGTAATTATATAAATTCTTTCATTCCGACAGAAATTATTTTCGGGAGACATACTATTTACTCTGACAGGGGGAGATGTTCTTTCATGATCTCACATTAACAAAAATACCATTAAAAAAAAACAAGAAAAGTGTGCCACTATTGAGTGATAATAAACTCAATTTTGTATCAGAATAAAAAGCCCCACTTCACCTACCAGAAGTAAGCAGCTGTTCTCTGGAAGACACAGCTAGGTTTATTATAAACTTAGGAGCATGAAAGGCCATCACAGGCTGTCAGGAGAGAAGTTTAATCCTTTTGTCTTTAGTTTTCAAAGTCGAATTTTTTTCTCCTTCAACTTACTATTAGAACTATCTATGAGGAATCTTTGTGTTATCGATTAATCTGCATAGCTTCATAGCGTCATACATATTAGAAATAAACCTGAAACTCTGCTTCTCTTCTCTATAACCCTGTATAACAAAATAGCAAAAACTGGCACAGGAAAGAAATGTAACTAATATTTACTAGGTAACTGGTACTTACCACTTGTACATACACTGTTCTAGTTTTCAGAAACCAACAAGGTAAATAATCTCACTTTACAATTTAGAAAACCAAGATTCCAAAAAGTTAAGTTACTCAAAGTTACAGAGTTACAAACTTAGAATTGATATCCCTCTAGCTCCAAAGCTCAGACTTCTACTTCAGTACAGAAGTACAAAGTGAAGGTAGAAGAAAAAAGCTATACAAGGATTGTCTTATTAAAGTCACTCTGCATGTACCCACTCACTGACAGTCCAACAGCGATCCCTTCTCAGCATTATCTTTTTTTTTTTTTAAGAGGTTTTTGCCTTGGGTGTGTGCGCTCACCAGTGAGTGAGACAGAGACAGTGAGAGGGAAAGTGAGAAATCCTCCAGGGGGATGGCTATGCACAATCTCTTTTCCTCCATTCTCCTCTCAGGGTCTTGGACACACACATATGAGCCCAGCATGAGTTTCAAGCCACTAGGCCTGAGACTTGAACCACAATTAGCCATGTGGGAGTCCAGCAATGTAACTGCTATGCCATCTGCTGATTCCCCATTGCCTATTTCTTGCTTCAAGAACAAATAATTTTCTTTTTCTGATATTTCAGAAAGACAGTTTCTTTGTCTAAAATAAAAAATCTTCTGGTACATTATTTCTAGTCTGTTTTTATTTTCACTAACTTAGACCTTGGCATTTGCTGCCAACTCTTAAAATATTATCATATGTTCTTTTCCCATCCATACTATTTCTGTAATGTGGCCAGCAATGATTTAATTAACCAGGCTGCCTGACCTACCAGATTCCAGATCTGTAGTACGTGATTACTCCTCTTTGCCCTGGTTTCTTAGTCTATAGAATTCCCACTTGCAACTCAAGCCTCATATTTAGAGCGTATTAAGGAGTTTAAGCGAAGCTACACTAAATTGAGTTTACATGAGATTTAAAAAATTTTCTTTTCGAGAATTTGGACTGTGAAGAGAAGGGCAAAGACTGGAAATGTAACTAGCAGAGGCACAGGATGAATCCACTCCCTGTAGTCAGATGGAGAGAGCTGATGTGTACTGGGGAAGTGGAAAATTATCAACAGAATAGGAACAGAGAAAATACCTAAAGGAACTTGGTCCCTGGAAAAGTTAAAGGAGATGAAATTCAGAACAGGGGTGGAAAATTTACCTTAAACAAGAAACAAAAAGACTCTATAACCACTTATGTGTATTCTTTTACTCTTCCTTAGGAGAAAAAAAAGAAAAAAGAGCCCCCCCCCTCAGAAGACTGTCCAGTTGCTAATGGCCAGCTTAAGATAGAGATCACCTTGAATTTAATATTAAAGTTTATTAGAATTGATATCTTTTTCCCCCCTTTGGGCAGAAGGCTTAAGTCCTCACCAGAGACAGAGAGAAGACAGACTGAGAGAGGAGAAAGCACCTCCACACAGGGGTGTGGTCATGCTTGAATCCCCTTTCCCCCATCTCTCATCCTGCCAGGATTCAGAGCATGCAGGCACCTGAGCCTAGTGTGTTTTTCAAGACTCTGGGCCTGGGATTGTAACTGCATAGTCGACCATGAGCAATCCAGCTCCCTTAACTACTAGGTCACAAGGCCAACCCTATTTGAACCAATTTCTAAAACAATTTAGAACGAAAAGATAATAATACACTTAAGCAAAAACATGCCCAAATTCTTAAAACACAGATTTAGAGCACTTAGATAATCACGAAAGAAATTTATTAACAGTATTTATTGTCACTGACATCTATGAAAACATTCCAGAAACAAACATGAGGTTTGCCACCCACTTCTCCTACCAAATGTTTCATACCTTTGCTATTCTGGCTTTAGTGTTCCTTTTTTTCCTGACATCATAAACTTAAAACAAAAATGTGACTCAGTCACTGAAATTCATCTGCGAGGTATAATGTATGAATTGGGGGGAGAAGCAAAAATGTGATCTTAAATTTGAAAGGATTTACAATTCAACTGTAATTTATACAGCCAGATAAAAGATATTTAAGTACAATCCCTTGGACTTGCAAAAACAGTACACATGGTATGAGTCAGTTGTGCTAAAGAGATGAGCTTTAAAAATATAAATCAACAGTTTTAAGAAGATTGAACTCTTAGCAGTAACACCTGTTCTGAACTGATATCCTTGGGGGTTATTTGGATCAGGGATGACTCAGGGTTTAGCCAGATTGTTAGGACAACTGTAAACACAAACAGTCCCCAGCGCTCCAGCCAGCCCGGCTATGTGTTCTTGGGACAGATCCAGAAACAAGCGAGTCTAAAGGAGGTGGGCGTTAGAACTGCTCCTCGCCGGATGGCTAACTTCCTCGTGTGCTACTCAGAGTTGGCTCCCAGCCTGATTCATCCCCTGATAGTGGAAACAGCCAAAACGCACTGATGCAAGAGGCTGCGCAGTCCCTTGGAATAGCCTGAATTTTCTGCACAATGGAGATAAGGTGGGTTTTAATTTGATCACATTAAATGGCATTACCTGAGCTTCTTGACAGGCTGCTCTCCTTAGCAGGTTATCACTACAAAGGAATCGAAAGAGAAGGAGCATTAGCTTTCACAGCAGATTAAGATCCAAATAAAATTTGTGGGGGATTTATTTATTTATTTATTTTAATGTTATGTACCTACAAATAGCCAAGTGGACATTTCTTAAAGATTGATAATAAATCGTGGGCAGATTTCCAAAATACCTTCTTTGAATGGAATTTTGTGGTATTTGCATATCACGCTAAGCAGAATAACACCCCGTTCTCTTTCCCACAGGTGTTCAAATCCTAATCCCCAGAATTTGAGGTTATGTTACTTTCCATGGTAAAAGGGAATTTACAGATGTGCTTAAATTTAGGATCACGAGGGCTTGCCAGTGATGTGGAAGGCAGCTGGATTCTACAAGGTGGACTGTAGCTCAAAGCCTGGACCCAGGGACTTGGAAAACACTCGGGGCACATGTGCATGCATGCCCAAAAACTTGAGAACAGGATGGAGGAGAAGAGATTGCACCATGGCCACCCCCCATGCTCTTGTTCTCTCTCTCATGTCTAGTGAGGGCAAATGCCCCACAGCAAAATTTAAAAAAAAAAAAAAAATTGAATCTTGAGGTGAGACTGCCCTGAATTACCCAGATGGGCCCAGTCTAACTACAAAGATCCTTAAAACAGAGAAACTCTCCCAGCTGTGAGCAGAGGCAAATGGAAGGCTGTGGGAGAGTGGTCAGGAAGGTGTCTGGGTGGCTTTGATGACAGAAAAGGGCTATGAGAGAAAGAATGTGGTAGCTTCCAGAATCTGCAAAGGCTTCTGGGAGGCAGATAATTCTCTCGAGCCCCTGGAAAGAATGCAGTCCTTGTTGACACTCTGATTTTAGCCCAGTGAGACCTGTGTTGGACTTCTTGCCCACAGATCATAAGATAATAAGGCCGTGGTGTGTTGAACCATAAGTTTGTGGTAATTCATTAAGGTGACAATAGAAAACGAATGTACACGTTTTAGTCTGTTCCAGTGTTACTAACAGAAAGACTTGAGGCTGGGTGATTCAGAAAGAAAAGAGGACTGTGTTTGCAAAGCTCTCAATGCTGATGGCTGGAAAATCTGAAGGCACAGGGCTGGCATCAGGCAACATGGCCAACAGAACCTCAGAGGATGGCAGATGGTGGGTGTGTGCAGAGAACACTTCTGAGAGCTGTTTCTTTTTCAACAACCAGCTCTTACAAGAACTAACCCCTTCTCTTGAGAGCTAGAACTCACTGCATCCCACGAGATATTAATCTATTCATGAGGCTACTGCCTCCATAGCGCCAGCACCATAATCCAATCACCACCAGGAGGCCTCTCAGCACCAGACCACAAACAGGAGCCTCCAGGAGACAAAACATGACCCAAACCATAACAATACATATCCTACATTCTTCTTATCCAGGAGAAATTACCTGGGTCATTTTCCAAGGATAAATTTGATGTTTAGTTGTTTCCGCTATTTTAAATTACTCATTTTTCATTATTTTTTTTAATTTGACCAGAGAGAGTGAAGGAAAGTGAGAAAGCAAGCCACCAGGTCCAGGACGCGAACTGTGGTCAGTCATGTGGGAGTGTCCAGCGCCTTAACCACCACACCACCTGCCGGTCCCCTAAATTGCTCATTTTTTCATACTACTGTCAAATACTCAGTTACATCATAAATGGAACATTTTGTCATGAATCAAAATTTTCACTTCCAAAATTAAAGCATTCTGTCAGAGTAGGATCCTCTAACATATAGGTCTCTAAAATATGTTTATATGATAAAAGCAGTTTAAATGGTTCTGGCTGCTTACAGGGCTCCAGAATCTTCTCCGTGTAGAAGTCAGTTTTAATGCATATTGCTGGCATTACCTAGACAACTTCAATCTGGTTAACAATAGTTAAAAAAACCGATACTCAGAAAAGATGACCAATAACCAATACTTCTAAAGGAAAAAGGTTATTTTACTTATATTTTCTTCCTAGGTATTTTTTATACACCAAAGACCTTGAATTTTGCATTTCTACAGTAATTCATATCTGATTTTGCTATTTAAGGTTGAACAAGAAGATATAAAAACAGTCTTTTACTTTTTGTCGTGGTAGTCAATGACCAACAACACGCCAGCCTCTACAGTGCAATAAGTAGCGTACAGGAAGGCAGAGCTGGAAGTGACATGCCAGTTGTGGTTTGAGTACCTGGTCCGGTTAGCCCCTAACCACGTGGGTACATGTGTGCCCCAAATCCTGGTCAGCTGGAGGACTGACGGGAGAAGATCATGAGTGACTAAACCCTGTGAAGGGTGTGTGTCTCTCTCTAACACACACACACACACACACGCACGCACGCACTCTTATCATGAATTAAAAACAAAACAAAGACTGCTCGATGACTTTTTTCCACAGCTAGGCTACAGTACAAGTCCTAAATTTTAGTCAGCTTCAATAAGAAAACACTATCCGAAATACCAGCACCACAAATCTGAAACCTAAGAGCAATGTTCCATTAAAATTATAATGACGCCCCTATCTCAAATGCCCATGTTCGATAACAAAGATTTTTGGGGAGACCAAACCCTTAAGAAGTCTAGCCCACAAGGCAGCTTTTATTTACAGCCAAACCCAGCCTCCACTTGTGTGAGTGTCTCTGCTCCGCTTCCATCCAGGTGGCCAAGGGAGCTGTACACCTCTCCTTTCCCCACCCAAGATTCTCAAGTACTCGTTTTGCTTTTCACCCTTTACCGTCCCCACCAAATTCTCTCCATGAATCATTCTAACATCGACAACAAAAGAAAACACTGTTAAGATGGGGTAAATTCAGTACAAACAAGCGAAATATTTCAAAATAACTAACATGCTGATACTCCTTTAGAGCTTACTTGATACTTCACATCTTTGCCCGTATAAACTGCTGACCCTGAGTAACCTCTGAATCACAAGATAACACCGGGTTCTCACAGTAGCCTGGACATCATCCCTGGCTCTCCCCTGGCCAGCACCAATCCCTGGTCCAGCTTCTACATGACCCTGCAAATATGTTTTCAAGCCTCTCATGACTGCCCGCTCCAACATGTGCGTCTCATGTGTTCTAGTAGGCTACAGAGCACATGCCTCCAACCTCTTACCCTACAGACTCAGTCTGTGGGTATTTGCACAAAGCCCCCTACGCGCTGTAAAAGCTGCAGCCCTGTCTCTACATCCTTTTCCTATACGTTTTCCTTCCAGGCTCCTTCCCTTCAGAAGATAGACCTCTGAAGGTCTATCTTCCCTCCTCTGGGAACCTCATCGGTGCTGCGTTTCAGCCACATTGATTCCTATTCACCTAGATGAAAAGAGAATAGCCCAAACATATACAGGAATACAGAGTAGCACCTTGAATCAGTTTTTTCCCTAAATTCCTTGGTGTCAGAAGTAAAACTGTGATGTTTTACTAAGTACATTACTAATAAAAATCTCAGCTTTTTTGAGCTGATTAGTATTACTTGTTTTACCAGAGTGCTATTCAAAATGAAAACATTTCTCTTAGTTAATTCACGGAGTTTCAACGTGCTAAATGGAATATGCTACCAGTGCCACCTGTGAAAAAGCCAGAATATGCATCAACCTAGAAACTACCAAAGAACGCCCCAGGATAATCACACTTAACTGTTTTATATCAAAATGGCATTAATCATCTTGATTTTGCTCTCTGAACAGGGTATTTCTAAAAATCAAACGAACACATCTTCAAAGAAAAAGAGTTTCTCCCACTGAATAGTCTGATGACCTACACAGTAAGCTCTGAAAACTATTTCAAGAAGAAAATTCCAAAAAATGTTTTGCTAAGGGCAGCACTGTAAAAATAGAAGAAAACATCATTTAAAAATGCATTAAGCTACTCCTATGTGCCAAGTATGAAGCAGTTAATTCTATAAACCTTAACTCTTTGTAACAACCTCACAAGGCAGGCATCATGAAGAAATATAAAATATTCTCATGTTACAAATGGGGACCTCAGGCTCAGGGAAGGGAAGTGACTTGCCCCAGAGCACAGTGTTGCTTAGTGGCAGAGCTGAAACTCGACCTGTGCCAATCTACCCTAAGTTAATGCTTTTTTTTTTCTTTTTTCCATAACTTCAGACAGTACTGACTGGGCAAATATTCGCTTAGATGTATATTTTAATTGCACATTTAATCAACCACACTTCTTCCTAGTCTCATCTAATACCAATGCTACAATTTACAGGCATATGATGTTTTTAAAAAGTTCAGGTGTGACAAAGCTCCCCAAAATAATTGGTAACGAACTCATTTAACACTAAGTGCCAAGTATGGCCCAGGAGTCACGATTTGGTGCTGCCCTAAAGCAGCTAAGGATTGAGTGGCAAGACAACAGCTCTTGGTATACACTGGTGGCAGGGTAAAGGACACCTTTCTTGATGATAATACGCAGGGCACTCAGCTAGATATGTCTGGGATATGTTGGAGAATAAGCCAATACCTTGTCCTCATGAAGTTCACAGTGTAGAAAGGAACAAAGACCATTCTGTAGGCACTCATGAGAGATGACTTCTACATGTCCATAAAAGGGGTACATGACAGGGGTATCTAACCTAGTTTTCAGGGCATTAGAAAAGCTTTTTTTATAGGAAGTGACATTGAAAGGGGGATCTCAGGGAGAAATAAAAAGTAGCCAACCAAAAATAGGGGTAGAATCTAGGCAAAGAAAACAGCATGTTAAAGGCCTACGAGTGCTAGAACAAGACCAGCTGAGGAAAGCAAAAGGCGCTCAGGAGAGCTGGCAGTGGTGTGCCGCAGGGGAGCAGCAAGAGAGGAGCTTCAGGGGTCAGGCAAAGGCCAGGTCACCAAGGGCCTTTTAGTTATTTATGGAACCTGTATTTCTATCCTAAGGGTCCTGAGGAGTCATTGAAGAGTTTTAAGGGGAGAATTAATGTGACCAGATTTACATTTCAGAAGGACTGTCTGGATGCAGCACTAGTCAGAGGTAAGACTGAGTCCAGAGAGACCAGTGAGGATCCCTCAGTAA